AATAAGGCGACCTACGCTCTGACCGATCATCAGCAGGGCAGATGATTAAATCAGGTAATCTACCGCTTATTAATAGGTTATTACCTATTAATAACATAAAGTGAACATCAAGCCAGAAAACCTGAAAGTGTATCAGATGGTTCTGCTTGGGGTCGTATTTCCTGTTCTCTGTGGGTGAAATTTGTACATTTTTGGCATTAATGTTCCCTATGTGGTTGAACGTCATCTCTGCTCTTTTGGCTAGTTTTTGTGAGAGATTCCTACTCATTGGAACAGTTTGGGTTTTGTTGACATGAGTCAATGAAAAGTAATGGAGCCGCTAGCTATAGCGGCTAATGGAGCCACTAGCTCCTCCATACACCAGCTCCTGTTAGTGGGGATGTAAATACTTAAGGAAATGTGTTGATGTTTTGTACTGTCTGCAGTGAGCTTTCTGCAGCTGCTGCCGGGTCTGAACCAGCATGGCTTCATCTCCAAGTACACCGCCATGGCCAAGAGGGAGATCAACAAGCTGCTCAAGCAAAAGGAGAAGAAGAACCAGTAGAGGAAGTGTGCAAAATGGAGAGAAGAGAAGAAGAAAGTTTGTAGAAAAGAAAAAGCAAAAACCAGAAGTTTGTGTCTGAGCAAAAAGCACTTTGTTTCCACACATCGGATAAGTTTAATTTCTTCACACTTCCCACCGTGTGACATTCAACCGTCATCACCCTTCCACAGGCACCATGACGTTAATCACGTGTGAAAAATCCTTTTTTCATAGATCAGCTGTGCTTTGTTTCACAGTCAGCAATGCTTTAAGCCATTCCCTCGGATTAGACGGAGACTACTGAGCAGTTCACTCATTGCTGCATATTTTAACCTGTTTATTCACAGTAATTCTTTCAGGGGGGCTTAGTTGGGGTAAAATGGCAGAATATGAACGTTTTTATGTTTGTGCTTTGTTGCTTTATATTTGAACACAGTGCTGAAAACTAACTGGATTTAAAGCTGAGCTAATCAGGAGAGGAGCTGCCTGGAGATGGAGGTTCTGCTGTATCTGCTGGATGAAAACGGATCGGATGATGCTTTTAAAACCACAGAGATGTGACGTTAAGGGGGGTCTCTGTTGAAGACTGTCCTGTCTTGTTAGACATTTCTTTTCTTATTTATGTGTTTGATCTCTTTTCTGTTCTCATTTCATTGTCTTTGTGAGATCCCAGCAATCAATAAAGTTTGATTTTAAATGACTGGTGGCTTCTGAGGCTCATCCTGAAATGTTTTGAATGGTAGCTCAAAGCAGCAACGTCTGAGGAATCCTTTCATTTTTCCTTATCGTCGTGAACTCATCCACTTGGCATTAATCTGAAAAGCAGCGATGGCGGTTTCTCTGGAGGAGCTGGAGAGTTGCCTACGCTCAACATTTAATGCAATTTTTGCAACTTTTCTGCAAATCTAAACCTTTGTTCAAAGCTGCCAAAATTCATGATTATATTCTGTATAAATTTAGACCAGTCAGTCTGTTCCATCTTTTTCTGATTTCAGAAACTTTTCTGCTGGTTCCTGTTGCAGATTTCTACCACATGTCTGACAGCAGGAGTTGTTTCCCTGCAGGGCTGCTTTTAATTTCTTTACATTCTCAAAGTGAAGATCTGCCAAACAAAACCTAAAGAGACATGTTACTGCTGAACAAAGGTCATGGGGGGAATACTTAGTTTTATGGATGTTTTTTAATTTGATGAAACTGCATGAAATATGAGTCTGCTTAAATATAATATTTTTGCATAAAGTGCATGTGGTTGCTTGGCAACAGAAAACAGGAAAAAACATTTGCATATAAGATCTCAGTGAATCACTTATCTACTGACCTGAAAGATTCCCATTTTGCTCCTGTGTTGAATGCAGGAGCAAAATGGAAATATGTGGGTAAAACATTTTTATGTTTAACAATGGTTATACTTTATACTGTTCATATGCTTGCAATGGATAAAATATGAACCATAAATGTGAACCTGTTTTATTTTTTCCTAATTCCTTCCCTATTTGTTTCACTTCTTTCTTCTTTTACTCCCACCATCTTCCTTGTGTTCATCCTTGTCCTCCTTTTCATTGTGTTCGTACTATTTTCTACATTTTCTACTCTTACCCACAACCTTCCTTCCAGTTTCAGTTACAGAAAATTTTCCATTTTAAAGTGAACTCAAAACACTGGAGACTCTAGAAAAAGTAGGGAAAAGAAGGAAATTGCATGAAATCTGACTAAGGTCACATCTACAATTCAATGATATTTACATGAGAAAATAAATTAGAAGAAATTAGTTTAATTTTACGAAAAACAAAGTTCAGAAAAAACTAACAAAACTTAATCGGTGTATGGTTCGTTCTTTGTTTTTTTCGTTTCAAAATATGTTTTTTTTGTTTTTAAAACAAGTAAATCCAGGATTTACTTCCTGGATTTTTTCTGTGAAGAACCCAGAGAGGGCCCATGTGAAATAAAGTATACTTTATTAGTATATTTCAAACATACTTAAATTTGTGAAAGTACACTTTAAGTATACTACGTATTAAATATACTACCTATAAGTATATCTGAAGTAAACTAAAAGTATACTTGTACCAATTTCGAAATTAGAACTTTAAACACACTTAAACATAATTGTACCAAAATACACTTTTAATATATTAAATAAAAGTATACTTTAAGTGAACAAAATATATATTTGCCCAAGTGTAAATATACACTTGTTCAAGTATATTTAAAATATAATTTGTGTATATTTTAAAATATATGCTCAAAATAGAATTTTTTAAAATTCACTTAACACTACTTTAGATTATTATTTTCAGTATGTCTTAAATTTCATCTCAGTGTAAATTTTAGGCTAATAAAGTATGCCTTAATTTTCTTTATTTAACCAGGTGAACCCAGTTGAGATCCAGATTTCATTTTCAAGAGGGACCTGGGCAGAAGTCTGCATCACGCAGCAACCTGATTACAAAATAAAACTAATACATATGCAGAAGTATGTCTTTTAGGCACCTTTAAAGTGTGTTTAATGTAATATGTAGGCATACTTTTTAAGTACCTAAAAAGTATGAATTTTGAAGTGCCTTAATAATATTTTACTATTTACTAAAATTGCATACAATAAAAAATGATAATCATGATGTAATTTCTAAGAAAGTACCCAATCCATTTTCAGATGTGTGATGTAAAACCTTATAATCAACGGCATTAGCTCCAGTTCACACTCCAGACCAGATGGTGGCGGTATTGCACACTTTCATTAAAAAAAAAAAAAAAAAAACCGCCATAAAGACTAGATAAAACTTGAACGCAGAGAAGATAATAGACGCTGTTTAAATTCGCCATTTTTACTCGCATAATATTGCCTTAAAAGTAGAGAGGGCCTTGACAATAATTACTAATTTTGGTAAATTCAAGCTGGTGACGTTTTAGTCCGAGTTAGACGGAAACTCAACGGGACAACAACCGATGGAAATGAAATGTGGGTCACAAAAGGAGCCCGGAGGGATGAAGGATGCTAACGTGTTGCTAGCTGATGGTAAGTTTGCTTATTAATTATCTTCATTTAATTATAAACAGTGAAGTAAAGATTTATAACTTACGTTGGTTTCATAAATAATTATTTTATCAATGTTATTGTGACTTGTATGATTATTACTATAGCAATCATTCAGCTTCACGTTATAACTGCATGGAGGCTGTTTGTTGCGACATACTTTTATTCATAAACTGAACCTGGTTTTAATTAAGCTCCATAAGACAGAGAGACTTTGATATTGTGAGGTTGTTATAACTCGTTCATTAATGTTTTTATCTTCAACATATGTTTGCAAGCAAATGAAAGGAAGCAGAGATTCAGGTGTTGGGAAACTAAAGACTTTCTGTCTCAGAAGAGGCTCTGGCTCCACCAGATCACCAACCAGCTCTGAGGATGAACCTCGACATAGTCTTCATGGTGTAAGTATTTTTTGTTTTGTTTTGTTTTAATGAGGAGCTAGCTACATTTTCAACAACAAAAACGGGTGTGTTACCAACACCAAGTGCTTAATAAACATGATTTGGTCTAAAGATAACTGGACAGAATTTTTCCCCTTGTTAATCTAACATTTCTCTTTCATGCATTTTATTCATTGTTGGCTTTCAGGGCCCTGTGATGGACTGGTGACCTGTCTAGGGTGAACCTCTGCCTCTCATCTGATGACTGCTGGAGATGGGCACCACCTGCCCCCCTTGCTACTCTGCAAGGATCAGCGTGTTCAGATCATGGATGGAAAGTTTTTAAGGTAGTTTGTCTCCCCTAAGTCCACACTTAAAACAGCTTCATAGTTAATGACAACATCAACTGACTCTATGATATTGCTGACTATTTTTATCTACTTCTAACATAAACAGACAAAGAAGACACCCAGAAATGTTTTTCCACCCCAGGCATCTGGTCCCAATAATCATCAGTTCTGATGATGTCACATACATGGCAAGTCCACAACGTCTTAAAATTGTAAGTCTTATTTTTTTCTGTGCCGTTTTTCTGTACTCTTTAAAATACAAATGCTTTCTCTGTTTAATTGCTCTATTGTTCTTTTTTGCAGGTTTCTGTAAAGTGCAGTGAACGGGAATGTTCTGTCGTTGATCCTCACTGTCATTTTTTATTGTCACACTTAAATTTTCATGTTCATGTGTTCACTTTAGATGTGTAAACTGATAATTTATGTAAAGTTCATAAAGTTGTGAGTAAAATTGGACAATTTAAAAATGTTGGTAATAAAACAAAATATTTGAATTACCTTGGGCATCTTGTGTAATTAATCTTTCTATGTAATTGTAGCCTAAAGCAATGTAAGTACTGTAGTGTAGTTACGCATGTCATTTACAAAGTATAAATAAAGACTTATGAGTAATTAAAATTGTACTTTATTAGCAATAGCAGTAAATCAAAAATAAAAATTAAGTGTAATTTAAATGCATTACTAATATATTAGTAATATATTAGTGTAATTTAAATGCATTACTAATATATATATTGAAAGTGTATTTTTAATATAACAAAAAGGCGTTCTGCTTGAATCGTTCTCCACACCTTATTTTTTATTTTCTAAAATGAAGATAAAAATTTATTGTTTGGTTTTATAATGTTTCTTGAAACTGTATTTGTTATAAATCAAAATCTATTTTTTTTTATTAGCATCATAGCAGTGTGCATAATATCATAAAATTATTTGTTTTAATAAAGAAACAGAAACAAGTCATGTTTACAATATATAACAGTAATCTGGTAAAGATAAAACTTCAGGAAAACTGGATATGATTAAATTGAGCCTTTTTTGAGTACATTTCTGTTGGTTAATCTTTATAGATCTGATACATTTGTTTGGATTTTTCAAGGTTGATTTTACAACCATGTCAGGTTTAGCCTTTGAACTATTTTTGCTTTATGTTTTTAGTTTCTTCTGTGGATGAAAAGAAAAATGTTTTCAGCCTGAAAGTCGCTGCCAAACGCTTCTGATCCTTTAGATCTGCATTGAATAACCAAAACCAGAAACAAGCTGTAAAGTACCAGGGAGCATTTTGGGCTAAAATTAAAACACCATCACCTGCTTGATCTGTGTCATATCTTGTAAATCAGACAGTATAAATGCTGCTTATGTGAAGAGTTGGAGGCATAAAGTTAAGAGGAGAAGATGGCCTAAGAGGACGGAGGGGAAGTGAGGCATTATCACCCCACTGGTTGTCATGGGGTTGGGGGTTGTGGCATTTGTGGTATTTGTGATGTTGGTGGTGACGGCGGTGATGACGGTTGCTGGAGATAAGAACGGTCCCAGTGTCTTGGTCAGGAAAGCCTGAAAACGGCTCAGTTTTTCAAAGACCTTCATGCTGGCCCGTTTCCTTCTGTTGGAGGTATTATTATATGAAAGCACCACTGCCTGGAACCAGGAGCCGTCCTGCTTACACATGAGCGGACCACCAGAGTCGCCCTGAAACAGAGAGAAGACGTATCATCCGCTAAATATTCTGAGTCAACCTTTTAAACCATCTTACCACCAAAGTCCCTCTAGTTTCCCCACATTCACACCTCCAGCAGCTAATGCTTAGAGTCCAGTTTTCAGTTTTTAAGATCGTACCAAAACATCGTCAGCTCTCCATGTTAAAACTAAACACAAGGGAAATGTTTTCAGACTAAAGCTGCTTATTTCAGCTTATGGGAGTTTGTCAGAGGTTACAGTAGATCCTGTATCACATATAGCAAAAACATGCTTAACATGTTTAATTTATTTTGTTGCTAAATCAATTTTTATTTACATTCACTGCTTAGAATGTGGGGTTACGGTTGTTCTTTATCAGGGTACCTCTTTTCCTTATTCAATAAATAAAAATATAATTTCTGCATATAGCATACAGAACAAATACTGATATTCTGAGAAAATGCTTGCTTAGAATGTCTTTCTTGATAATCTGATATGTTTTTGATAATATTCTAATTCATCGAGATGCACCTGTAAATAGAATGAGATTGATCTGTTTTTCTATTGAAATCATACTGGCTTCAGCATTTTAGCAGCTTAAATAAGGTTTTGTAATGCTGGAAAACACAAATTCGGAATTCATCATAAACCGCCGGTGTACCTGTCCCAGAGTAAAGTCTTCTGTGCACATGCTGTCTGCTGCTGATGCATCCCCACAATTTAGCACTTTTGTCTGGAACTGCTGCAAAGGTTCCTCTAAAGTTGGAGAAAATAAAGAAGCTGTAATTTCTGGTAAAGTGGTTTGATCTGCATTGGTTCTCATGATTAGTCCAGCATCACCTCCTCCTGCTCCAGGGCTCCAGCCGGCGGCCCAGCATGCGGCTCCCTCTGGGAATGTTCTTCCGTTGTCCAGGCAGATCGGCCAAATGTATTTGTTCAGGGTGGGGGACGACGACAGCGTCAGCACTGCGATGTTGGTTCCCGTCAGGTTGCTCATGCTGATATTTACCACATCAAACGATTCCTCAAACTGGTTCACGCCGTTCTGATTTAGCCGACCCAACACCACCGTCCACTCAGAGGCATTAGGGGGGCTGAGGGAGAGAGGATGGACTGAATTAGAGCTGAACAGAAAATTATTTTACCAGTTTAAAAATTAAGTTGTCTCTATTAATGGTAATAATGTATAATGTTGGCATGTTTCTTCTCCCGTCATGCTCAGCTTCAGCGTACCCTGAGAAGCAGTTGGCGTTGGTCAGCACGTCCTTCTCAGACACCAGCGTCCCTCCACACACGTGCTGGCCGTTCTTCAGTAAGCTGGCCATCCACGGCCAGGCACCGGCCGACGCCACAGAAACTCCACCCGAAATCCTGGAAGCCAGTGGGGCCTGTCCACAGACCACACCTGGAGGAGGAAGACACAGGTAGACAGAATGAAACATCTCTCACAAACCCATTTGTGACGCTTAATTGGCACAGATGTCATTCAGACTTTCAGAACTTCACCTGAAGTTTCCAAATGTTTCCTTAAACAGTGAGGAACATTCCTGAAAATAACACTCTGAGCTATCTGGGGTCTTTCTGCTGCACTTAATGGGCGATGCAGAGTTTCCTTCCCAAAAACTTGCTAAGCTCGGTGGTCGAGGCGCCGAGGCGGTTCACCAGCAGTACACCATGTTTTTGTATTAAAAGATCAATCAATCAATCAATCAATCAAATTTTATTTGTATAGCACCTTTCACGAACAATGCATTTCAAAGTGCTTTACATCATAAGAACACAAAAATACAAAGTCATAGAACACAGTCAACAACATCACACTTTGCACATCAGATTATTCATTAATATTTCATGAGCATTTGATGTTCTGTCAATTTAAAAGATGTTAAATTGACAGGAAATGTAAAAATATCACTGGGTAATTATGTTACGGGAAGACATCGTCAGTGAAAAGCTATTTAAACTCACAATTATAGAGAATTAAAAACAACAAATAATAAAAAAACAATTCAAATATGTTGGCATCCAGTGATGGCATAGTTACTCTGAAAAAGTAACTTTAATCGGCTTACTGATTACTCCTTGAAAAAGTAACTTAGTTAGATTACTGATTACTTGATTTGGAAACTAAGTTACATTAAAAGTAACTTTTTTATTTACTTTCAGCAGCTCTAACAACGCTCTGCCACCTGTGAATATTACATTGAGCTTTGCCAAAACTTCATTGCAAGTTATTTTATAAAGGTTAACATCAACAATGTGTCTCCACTTATAAGGTTGTACTGAAGGGGAGATTGTTTAATGGTTACAACAGTAGTAGTAATTTGTGTGTGATTGTGTGTGTTCCAGTATTGTCTGGAAAACTCTAAGAAGGATAATTTTAGAGTTCCCCTCCCTGACTCAGCCTCCAGGTTCTGTTCACTGTCAGAGCGCAGCGCACAGAGCTCCTCCTGCGGCTCCACACCTCAGATTTATGACAACTACATTAATATTAAAGATCATAATGGCGTTTATAAACGCTGTTCATATTAGTCTCGATGTTTGCAGTTTTCTGGAGCGCAAAGCGAAGTTCGACGTCATTCACAGCAATTAACTTGACATTAACAAAGACACAGCGGGACGGATCATCAGGGAATAGATGGAATTGGAAGGCTTGACTAAAACTACCTGGATGTCAGACAAATTATGGGGCTTATCTGTTTATTTCTAAGCCCAAATAAGTGTTCAAAAAGAAGCCCAAAAATAACCTACAACTTATTAAGTTTGCTAACAACTTTAGAAAAAAACAAGTCCAAAGCTGCTTATAACAGTTGCACTTGGCGACAGAAACTCAAAACAGTTCCTTTTTCTCCAGCAACAAAATGCGCATCTCCCTCCATTGTTTACATTTCTGTCCTGGCGAGCCATCAGCTGCTGACTGTCGCATAGAAACGGGGATCACTCCCCAAGACACACAGAGGAAATGAATTACAAAAATAAAAAAAATAGTAAAGTACAGTGATTTGGACAAGTAACTTTAATCTGATTACTTGATTTGAAATAGCAAATCAAGTAACTGTGGCATTACTCGTTACTGAAAAAAGTGGTCTGACGTCACTGTTGGCATCATGGACCACATGGAAAACTGGAGTCTGTGCCGAATAACAGCAAAACGACATACAATCTGATAAATAAAGTTTTTCTTTCTATTTTGTCTTTATGTGAACCACTAGCGGAACAAGTCAGCGGGGGGGGAGGGGGGGGGGGATTTATGTTTTCGCATCCACCTGACTAATGTGCAGTTGCGCCACTGCCCTCAGGTGTATCACCTGCGCTGCTGGAAACTATTTAGCGGGGAGAGGAGGGCGTTTCTCGTTTCATTTTTACCTAGAAGCACATTGGCTAAACTGTGAGTCAAAAAGTCACTGACTACTGAATATTCCATTGAGGGACAGAAACTTTAACATTACATACATCTTTCTGAACAGGCGAGGGCGCACTTTCTCCGTCTATAACATCCATCCATCCCTTTTCTTTACACCCTTGTCCCTTATGGGGTCGGGAGGGGTGCTGGTGCCTATCTTCAGCTAACGTTCCGGGCGAGAGGCGGGGTCACCCTCACACCTAGGGACAATTTAGACCAATTAACCTGACAGTCCTGTTTTTGGATTGTCGAGGAAACCCGAGAAAACCCACACATGCACAGGGAGAACATGCAAACTCCATGCAGAAAGACCGGGGCTGGGAATCGAACCCAGAACCAACTGCGCCACTGTGTAGCCCCCGTCTATAACAGTGGTTCTTATGAGTCGGTCTCAGGGGTTCGGCGGAGCCTCTGCCGCGGAGGTAAAGACACCTGTGTAAAGTCGTGATGACGCCCCGCTTTGCCATCACTTGCTCCAGAGGATCACGTTACATTGCTGAGCCAATCAGAGCTGCGGAGGAGCCCTGATTGGAGGAGCTCCACTCTCAGCATGGATTTGAACTTGTGTCTTTAATTACTTCAGGAAACTCACGGTTTTTACCAAATTCTGTTGCTTTCGGTGTACTTCTAAATCTGCTCCTTAGTCGTATCTTTTTGGGGTTGGTACTGCCTCTAGTGGCGTGGGGGTGGTAACACAACTAATATAATTACATTACTAAATCAGAATACCACAAAGTCTTATTTATTTTTTTTTTTTTTATTCTCTTAAGAATGTAGAGCTAATTAAATGATCTAAATGAGACCTTAAAGTGGTTCCAGTTTCTCTCGATGGCCAACCTGTTGAAACTGTGGTCAATTTAAAATACCTTGGGTCGTTCCTGGACAGTCAGGTCAACTTTGCTGAAACACTGACTATATTTTGAAGAACTGTTTTCAGAGACTTTACCTTTCAAGAAGACTTAGTGATCATGGGGTGACCCAACTCGACTCTAGTTGGGTCACCCCTATGTCTTGAATTTGGGGGGGAATCATATTTTATTTATCACTACAGAAGGGTTCAGTGAATGCGCATATGAAACTGGTGGGTTCGGTACCTCAAAAAAGGTTAAGAACCACTGGTCTATAATCAGACATTAAAGCGACTTAAGCGACTTGAAACCATTCCTCCCTCCCCGGCACCCATCCGGGCCTTGGCCGGGGGGGCAGCAGCCCCCCCTATAGCCCCGCGCCTGATGTGAACCTTCATGCCACAATATCCCATCACTTTGCTGCTGCTACACCTGAATTTCCCCACTGTGGGACAGTAAATATAATTCTATTTTTCAGTTTTATTTTATTCCCACAGGTGATTGAGATCTTTCAGATTACGATCCCAAATGTCAAGGAGGTTGTTAAAAACTTGACAGCATCTACGTACAAAGAATCAGCATCTTTAAATAGACCAGGCAACAATGTCTCAGATTGAAGCTGTCCCTCTCTATCATTAGAGGATAATATTGATCTCTCTGTGACAGAAAACAAGTGGCTGATTACAAATACATTAAAACATGACAAGAGTCAGGTTTACTGTTACCTCTGATAGGCTACAGAAAGGAGACTTTTGTTAAACATTTTTGTTGGTGTGATTAGCAAATAACTGATACGTCTTGAAATCCTTTTATAGGTTTTTTGTTTTATCACAAAATCAATGAAATCAAGATACTCACGCTGAGGTTCAGTAGTTGTGATTTGTGGATGAATAGTAGGGTTGAAGGTTGTACAGGAAACGGTTAAGTCACTGTCCGTCCCGTTGGACGTGAATCTGATGAAGCCCGGCTGGTTTCTAGTGATGTGACTGTTGATCCAGTCATTGTACTGGGACACTCTTGCATAGACTGCTGGGAAATTTGGCTCAGCACAACCAACACCAAAACTCACAATTCCAGCCTGAATCCATCGATCACCCTGCTTGGTCACTAGTGGACCTCCAGAATCTCCCTGTAGGACCAGAAACATTTAGTTTGAAGCAGGTGAGGAGAAGAAATCAGTGCAGGAAGTGAAATCTGATAAAAACAGTTAAGACTTACAAAACATGGTCCCTTCCCTCCTTCACGAAACCCAGCACATATCATGTTGTCAGTAATCTGGTCTCCTAATATTTCACTGTAATCACAACTGCATTGACCATTTCCCACAATATCTGTCTCAACTTCCAAAAGGTTTCCTGGGGAAGGAAGTGACTCTAAAGGAGACACAAATTCAAAGAAAAAGGATAAGAAATGACGAGAATAACATTCAGTAAACTGCCATCAGGATTTTGTGACAGACATCACCACTTATTTGTGATATTTTTTATTTCTACGAAACTGTCGTCAGGCCTGTTTTAGTATGTTCTCTGATCATAAATGGAGTCAGATATTTCCAGCTCACCAAACAATCCGGTGTTGCCCCAGCCAGTAACCCAGGATGGATCCCCGCTGTAGAAGGAGCTGTTTGAATCCGCCAGGCAGACGGGGGAGATGTAACTGGTGAAGTTCACTGGTTCAGAGAGCCTCAGCAGGGCAATGTCGTTGTTGACAGAACTGTAGTTAGGGTGAGAAATGATCTGTGCTACTTTCCGAATAACTTCGTTTGGGTTGGATCCCTCCTGACTCTGACGACCCAGATACACCGTCACAAGAGATGGGATCGCATCAAGCCTGTTGTAAACAAAAGATAAAGATAATTATACATTTAGTTGAACCAC